ATAAGAATCGATTGATACCATCGTGCAATATTACATTTGATGCATTCTCATATTCGAGGAATGTTCTCAGGTTTAAACGAAAAAACTTATCGAAATACTTTACTTGTCCAGCCATATAAAATGTATATCACTTCCAACGTAAAGCATAAAATGATTTTACATAAATAATGTTTTCACTTTACTCAATATGTTCGGACGGCGTTCACATAACCGCATGTTAACAACACTCTCAATTCACACGTACAGCATATACAAGTTATTTCAATGTCTTTCGTATATCAATGAAAATACATCTAATTGTAATTGGGAACATTTTTCAAGTAGATAATTTCCTTCACTGTAGAGGCTTGTAACTAATTACAGTCATCGCAAGTGTGAGTACTACAATACTAAACTGATCGAAAACATAATGAAACACGATTTATCAATAGTTGAACAGATGGCATTTAATTGTTGGTATTATTTATAATTCAAATGTTTCGAAAACTAATTGAAAATATGGTCTACCTATATATTATATATTGAATTTGTTCTTTAAGCAGCAATATAATATAGGAAATTAATACCTATTGCTTTTTATTTTTATTTTTATAAATTGAAGAAAATGAATCGTTCCACTTAACAATTTAAATAATATTTAACTATCAAATTTTAAATTAACATCAAATATTTTTTTACAAAAAACGTAATATTAACTTAATTATGAATTATAAACATAAAAATATTTCTTTAAAATAATATAATATTATTTGTTATAATTTTTAATACCTTTCATGTATTCAATAACGTTAACGAAAACGGTATAAAAAGAAAAAATGAATCAACTAGCAACGGTAGATGTAAAAAATCCTTTTTATATTTTTCAACTGGAAAACGAAATACAGAATTCCCAATTACTTTTATTTTTTTTTTTTTAAATGTTAAGTTGTACTAGGATGTAAATATATTACAACACAAAATAGGTTGTTTAAGAACTCAAAAATGCGAATAAATTGAGAATTTTAGATAAAGACACAGTATATGAAGCAAGGCCTTTGATTTTAAAAATATTTAATTTAAATTGGTTTTATTACATTAATTGTATGATTTATGTCATCAAATGAACATAATATGCAAAATTAATATCATATTTCTTTTTGGATTTTTTTGCCGTTTATATAAGGCATATCCCCAATATAATTTGTGATCAAATCTAATAAAATATTTATCTTAATTAGTAGGTATATAATAATTTATAATTCGTCATAGACAAATGCCATTGCATAGTTAGTTATGGAATTATATATTTTAATGTAATTTGGTCAACATAATTTTATTTTTAAAGTTTAATATAATATAATAATGTATAATATTTTTATATAAATATTTATATGTAACTCTGTTTAAATTTTAAAATAATTGTATTCTTGACAATAGTTGAAACTATTAAAAGGCTAGGTTAGTATCTACACTTTTCATGACATATAAAGAAGTTCACTCTAAAAATGTCAGATATCTTATTACGGAATACTGCATATCTTTTGAAAAATAACTCTGGATGGTAAAAATTCCAAAAATAACATTTCACATTACATTTACTTGAAATAAATACATTTTACTGCTTTTTATTTTTTAATAGCAGTAGCTTAAACGTCAACAATAACTAAATGTAAAATATTTTAATCTGACATGACTCTCCTATAACTTCAATAACATATGTTATAACACGTTATAATTTCGAATAAAAATAACACTTTAGATCAAAGCTTGAACCCGTTTGTATGGTTTAAAAATCAAAGTACAAAAAATAAATATTTAGACAATCAATTTTAATAGCTAAGTTGTAAAAATGAAAATCGGTATTTAAAATTAAACTGAAATTATAAATGATAAAACCTTTATTTAAATCAAAATTACAATAGTAAAATATAGAATCAGTATAATTAAAATTAAAACCATATATCTCAGAAACCACTATTTTGAATCAGCATATAAATCGAAAATTAAAATATTAGTAAGAAAAATTACAATAAATTTTTATAACAAAACCCCAGTTCATACGAGTAAATCTGTGTAAATATTACTCATCGACTACTGAAATTAAGAAAAATAAATTACTTTTTGCTATCAAAATAAGTTTGTAAACGAAAGCGAGTTAAAATTATTGATTTTCACATTTACTTTTGTTTAATGATAAGTCATTTTGATCGCACCAGTTCAAAGACGCGCTCTAGTAATACGGTAATTTAATAGTCTCCGAAAATGAAAAGCTCTTAATCATAAGCTAAGAGAAGTAATGTTGAAAAGTTCAAAGAAACATTATTTCTGAAGGGAAGAAAAAATATTGGAGCCATGCAAAAACTTCATATTAAATTGGAGGGAAAACATACGGAATAGCAGCTGAATCGATTTCATACACTGAAGCATATGGCGAATAGAAGTTATATGAGAAATTGGACATCAATTCATAAGATTTCTTATGCAAAAATGTTCAACTTTTTCACTTAAAATGGTGAGATTTACTGAATTAAATGGTTTTGAAAAGTGAACGAAAACTTCATCAATTTAAAAACTGGTCATCAATAGTAATTCGTATGACAGCATAATTTTGTAGCAGTTTACTGATCATATTGTATGAAACTATGAACGTTCTATACAAAATTAAATAGGACTCAAGTTAAGTTTAAAAATATATTTGATTGGAAATAAAAAAAAAAGTAAATATCAAAACTAAATTTTGTATCTACAAGTACAAATATGAAGACAAAATCATAATTATTATTATTGATATATTTTCCGAAACTGATTACTGCCACCTAACTATTTATCGTAATGGTTTTAGAACTGTTTATTTGCGTGTGCTTTTTTTGTTAGCCAATACGATTATGATGTATAAACCATATCTCTAAGTCAAATATATCGTCAGCTGTTATTATAGCTAATATATATTTCAATAATGGAAAAAGTCGTTTTACTTGTACAACTATCGTTTGGAACACTATTGTTTTCGTTCCGACACATTATAACTTCAGTAGAGCTGCAATATGAGAAACACGTGGTACCACTACTAGTTGTAGCGAAGACATAAATGGCTAAATATATTATTCAGGTGTTGTCCGTTATAAACAGCCCGTTTCATGACCAAAATCGAACGACTCGTATTTTATTACCGTAATCGACCAACACTGATCTAGTACAACGCAGTTTATGGTTGATACAGAAAAACTATACACATTATTACTTGACGAATAAATAGAACACATGGTGAAGAGTAGTGGCGAATAACCCGAGGGCCGCTAATTATTTAACATCAAATGAAAAGTTATACATTACGTGTATTATTAATACGTGTATTAACCTACCTACGTAGGGTTCGCCTCGTAAAAGTAAATAAATATTGAGGTTGTGGATCAAAAAAGATTGTGCACCACTGGTTAAGCAGTTGCAGTACCGTTAAATATGATAGCGATGAAACGCCAACGCATGGTGTTTAATAACTCACGAGCAAAAGTTTTAAAATCAAACATCGAATATCACTTAGAGCTGTAGTTCTCCAAAATCTATCATTGGAATCTGCCCCTTAAGTAATCGTATAAATCACCCTGAAACTTTTAAAAGTATACCGTGTGTTGTTTTAACGAAATTGGGATTCCGATACATAAGATATAAATCGTGACAATCATAATTGTTGTGAAATTAGTTCAGAGCTACATCGTTAATTATTCACTGTCCATGAACTAATTTCATTATTCCGAGGCGTGTTGTGTAGGCAATTTTAGTACATCCGAGAGTATTGGCCGTCCGAAAGAAAAAAAGTTTATTGTAATACACAGCTAAGTACTATTATTTATTTATCATGGATATTTTCAGTTTTTTTTATCGTGAACGAATGAATAAAGTAATCAATAAATGGCTTCTTCCATCATGTTGTGTATGGGATGTTTTACATAAAACATTAATTTATAAGAAGATACCATACAAGTATCAATCAATACGCAATCAATGGTTAGTATTGATAAATCGATTAAAATAAAATTATAAAAATAATTAGTATTTTTATACAGAAATAAAACATTAATCATTCAAAATATTTATTCCATTTTAATTATTTAAACCATAGATTCATAAATTTGAATGCATTATTTTTGTACTGGAGCGAAAATTTCATGAATGAACGCAATAAAAAAAAAAAAAAAATGCCATTTATTATAGTTATAGGTATTAAAATTTTCCATTAAAGGACAATAATTATATTTTATATTAATTTAATATTCCTTAAATTAGGTCTATAGAATTTAAAATAAATTACATATTTGTATACTATAGTAAAATTGCACTATATGATATAAACAATGTATTGTGTTCAACGTTCATCATAATGAGTAACATTCCATAATGAAAGAAACATTAGTAACAAAATTAGAATATACCTTGAGATCAGGGGTTCATGATAAATTTATGGTGAACTTCGATTAATAGCAAATTTAAGCAAAGTATTATAATAAAAAATATAATTTGGAACAATTATATCATAATTACAAAATATTGTAATTTAAATCTATGGTTTATTTAAAAATCAATGATACTACCATAGAAAATAAGATAATTACTTTCGTTTTTTAATAGTTCAAATTCATAAAATATTAAATATTAACGCGAGGCTTACTTGTAAAATTGACCACAATATTCAATATAACTTGGGTTTAAAATGAAAAATAGTTTACACGAAATTTCTAAGAAAATATTAAAATTGTATGACCAATTAAAAATCAAATTTTAAACGAAATCGGGCATTTCAATGAAGCACAATAATAAAATTACAAGAAATATTTTCATCTTTACGCGTTTTTATATTGCACCCGTGTTTTGTACCTTATTTTACTCACGTATTTTCATCTTTTTTTTTTTTTTTTTATTACGACACTACTTGAAAAACCGTTTAAAAAAATAAATATTCTAGCTTGTATATGCCATATTAAACATGACATTGAAAAATTAAAATTATGAATTTGAAACTATACCGTTTGGTGTGGAATTTGGTCCGATTTGAGCATGTAAAATGTTGAGGCCCGGTACAATGATGGCAGGCAAGGTACTCGATCGTAATAACGGAGGTGGCTGTTGTCCACGTGGCACCTCTTTATCTCTGAATAGAAAAATACAATATAAATATACATATTACTTTTCGTAGTAAGTCAATTTTCGATTAATCTTATATATATAGTTAAGGTTAATCGAAAAGTTCATTACATAGGGTATAAATCGTAAAACGTATAAATGGTATGACAATAGCTGATCGAAGATGATTTTTTTGAAAATTATATGTTTTAAAAATCTCGACCTGGTTACATTAATAACATATTTTCAAATGGTTTAATAAACTTTTATAATTTTCTATATTTTGCATGTATTTACACGTTTAAAAAAATAATCATGTTGAAGAATAAAAACAATATTATAATCGTGATGAATATTACAATCGTTTTAAGTCATTATTGCTATATTACAAAATTGACAGTACCGTTATATGTAACAAATATTATTTATTGTTTTCTAATAAATCTATATCTAAGGCAAAATTTTAATTATTTTCAAAATTAAATTTTATAAACGTTAGTAAAATTTTAAATAAAAAAATTATTACTTTAATAGTTCTTCTTTCACTCTAATTGTATGTTATTTAATTAAGAGTTAAATAAAATATAATTACCCATTTATAATGTTTTTAAAATAACAGAAAAAATATGAAAAGATAATAATTATATAGTTTATCTATTTTCAACGTAATGTATTGACGTATTAAATCAAGGAATCAAAACGGGTACAATCTGGTTTTGAAATTCGGGGTACCCGGGAAAAATTTGAAACTGAGTATGAACCCAAAACCGAAACCCAATGTGAACTCGGTTTTTACCTGAAACTCGAACCAAAGAAAAAATTAAACTCAGTTTCAATTTAAACACCTGAGTTTAAATTAATATTGCAATATAATTTAAAATGATAAACCATGAACTAATCTGATACAAATAAATAAAAAAATAATTCATTTATCTTTACTTTATTTTCGGCGAACGTAAATGGAAAACTAAATGTGTATTTTTAATTACTATCCATCAATGCCAACGATGACGGTAGACAACAGCACTTAGAAAATTGTCAGTTCATTATTAAATTATATACACGAACATTTTGCTTCGACCATTCTAGAAAGTATTAAGTTAATCAAATATAATAAATAAATAAAAATTTTAATATTACATTGTTTTATTTCACTATTTCTTCTTAGGTATTCTAATTTTATAATGTACAATACTATTATTTATATTTCATTTATATGTGTTTTCCAGTGATTATATTCCTAATTATTTAACTGCATACTTAATTCCATTTACCAAAATATTTTAAAATAATAGACCTAGTTATGTGCATGCTTTATACGAATAACTAATTATTTTTGATATTTTTCAATAATACATAACATGAAGTACATTTTTAAGCTATCTTCTAGTCTTAGCAGTACATTTTGGTTTATTATATTGTCATAAATCAATTGAAACTAATTTTAATACACAAATAAGACTATCTAGTGGTTTTGTATAAAGTTTTTAATGACACAATTACCATAAAGTGTTGATGACTTAATGACTTAATTTTTGTAATATTTATATTATTATATATAGATTATTATTTTATATATATATATATGTATAATATGTAAAATTTATATAATTATATTGATTTGGATAATCATTAGTACTTGTATTTTCTGCAAAAGGAGTAAATTTCTGAGATTTCAGAGAAAACTCCTTGAAATCATTTCTGTTTAACAAAATTATGATGTGCCTTATCATGATAATAAGAAAAAATACCCAGTTTAACCCGATACTCGAAATCTGAGAAAACATAAAACTTGGTTTTAACCCAGCAACCGGAACCCGTGAAAAGTCAACCTAATTTAACGCCCTATATTAAATATATTAACGTATTAATTCTTCTACGGGATTTGAATTATTTTCTACTGCTGAATTAATTCAATGTTATTCACTTTTTATGCGTCTACTTATTGAGAAAATGATACAAATCATAAATATATTTTAATTATTTAATATTTACTGGATCGTCAGGCATAAAAATATAAAAAAAAATAATAATGAGAAGTTTCTTTTACTTTACAAATTTAAATCTAACGTTCAGATTATTTTAGAGACATTAAAGAAATATCAAACGACTAAATGTCGTTGAAAAATAATCCCAATAATGTAGTGAGCTATAAAATATTTCTGTTAAAAAGTTATTGGCGATGATTCAAAAACAAAAACTACAAAAACATTTTTACTGCTGATATAAAAAATATATATAAATTAAAGTATTGTAGCAAAATAAAGCAAAATTATTATTTAAATTTGTTTTAATACAATAGATTACGACAATCTAACAAACAGTTCTTATACTCGCATAGCATTATACAAATTTGTTCGAAACAACTATAAATAAATAATTTAATGTCATATTGGTTTACGTTAAGTATAAATGATCTCTATTGTTTTAACATTTACCATGGTTATAGTAGCAATACATCATCGTACACTGAAGTCGGACCTAGATACAAACCCTCATTATTGAGAACCTCCTTCGCTTAAAGAACTTACGAGAGACTTAAGAAATTTACGTTTCCTCTCAGAAAATGATGGCGAAAAAAAATCATTTTCCTCTTAATTTGCCAATAAATAAATTTTGTTGACCATACTAGTAGACGATATTTGTTACGCCCTTGCCTAAAGCGCATCATTATATATACTCTTTGTACAATATCCATAATAATGCATGTTCTTTACCTACAAAATGTCTTGGAATATTTATTAATGCAATAATGTTCAAATTTTAATGATACAAGATACAGTCAAAATTACAAAGAAATATTTCGTATAATATGAGTTTTGAAGTTTATACTTGGAATTTTCTCATTACACTTGGAATCGCTGCACATGATTCAGAAACAGATGAATCGCATTATATAATTATAAAATGTATATATATATATATATAAAATCTTTAAATCGTTACAGATATACAACAGAGCATATTCAAATTTATAAATATTTAAGATTTCGTCGATTAAATAATCCGAAAAGCGTGCGCAATTGAACTTTTACAATTCGATGGTTGAATGACCAAATCAGAGGACACTGAAAATTCAATTTCTATGTTCTGATTGTATTGAAAAGTTTGAAAAGAAACCGAAGAAATTAATCGTTCATTCAAATATTTCTTTTTAGACGGGTGCTGATGTATATATACACACTATTTTTACCAACAATAGGAAAAATTACTCCAATAGCCTACACGACGTACTGCGAATCACTTGAACGACATCGAAAATCAACCGTAATACGGTTGTATGTGCATATATACGATTCGTGAAGATTATTTTAATGGTAAAATTATGATAAAACAAAATCATAGTTTAACATCAGTTCTTTGGATATCGTGTACTAAGAGTGTATTAAGTTTACACAGAAGGATCGAAAGCGAAAAAGAAAAATTAAAAAAATTCAACGTCATACCTACACAAAAGGTTGTCAACTATAACAGGTAGGGTTCATCGTCAATATTTGCCCGGTAAGTAATTTTTTTTTCTTTTTACAAAGTTATTTTTTAACGACTAATAAATACATCTCATTCAGTTTTGAAGTTGTAGTAGATATTATTTTTATTGTGTGCATAAAACTGTTTTCAGGATTTGTCACGTACCTGCCTATACGATGTTATTGATGCCGTCGTCGATGCACAAAGTCAAGAGACTCCGACGAACAACGGTAGTAAATAGAAAGTTTCTTCCGTATACTCGTATAGATATAATAAATTAATATATAAATCCAGAGCGACATTTTTCAATTTTTAATAACTACTTACTACAGCTGCTCGGCATTAAACAACAATGGGATCTTGGAATTAAAATCGTAAAAATAAAACAAGTATTTAGAAGTGACGTTATAATATACTTTAGCTCTGGTTACTGTTTTAATTCATTATTATTATATAATCGCGCTGCCGTGCTGTTTTATTGAAGTTCTTTAGCCACATTATATGTTTATAGCATTCGGACCACGATCTTAACACTGCAATACCAGTAGCCTGTTGTAACGCAAGTGAAGTGCACTACAGATTTTCACAAATGACAGCGCGAATTGATTTATTCTCTCCGAATCAGAATAGTATAGGTGAATTAATTAGAAGCATATAAATCGCTTTTGATGTGGGTTAAAAGGTATTAACGATACCGCAAAAAAATTCCTTAGATTACCTGCAAACGACCGGATAGGCTGCTGAGGTAGAACTGGAAAATAGTTGATTCGTCCAATTGATTTTTATAATAGTTTAAATTGAATTAAGTGTGTCGGCGGTAATAATGCCAGTGCACACCGATATAAACGAAAAACTTATTTGTAAAAGACAAATCGTAACAGATAAACAACAACGCCCGTTCCAACGACCTGATCTAAGAAATATTCACCGAGAGCAATTTTTCAGATTTATTTTTTAATATAAACCACACATGACACGTGTGCTACGAACAAAATAATATTACTGAGCGCTTATGCTCGTCATCCCTGTACCGGTAAAATTATCCTGAAGGTACGTTCGTACTACATCACGTAGACGTTATATTTTGACGAAATTAATAACCATTTTTTTTTTTTTTTTGTTTTATTTTTTTTTCACGTAGTTTTTACGCAGGATAAGGTGGATTTGCTAACATGTTAGTTTACGCAGAAATACTTAATTTTATTTTTTTTTCATTCTGTTCAAATTTTCATTTTACAATCAATAAAATAATATTTACAGTAAGCGTAAATGATAACGGTTGATAACGGTTGTTAAAAAAATTTTGCGTAATGAAGCCATCAATTTTAGTGGTACTTCGGCAACGCATAGAACAGGGGTGACGAACCTTTTTAGGTTCAAGTGCCAAATTTTTCCTTTTTAGGTTTTGAAAATCGTTTACGTGCCCAAAGAAAATTATATTTCCTAAAACTATAAACAAAATTACAGATTTATTACATTATTTGTATTAAATTTTAGTCATTCTTAGTGAAACACAGGCAGCAATTGTTTCAATGGTCAAAACCTTTCTTTCCTTCGATT